TACTTACAGACTTGATGGAACCCAATGAGGTAAGAGCATGAGGTAAGAGCATGCATTTTTACGGAGCGAAAGAAGAATGAAGGCATTTGGGTTTTAGGTCAGATGGTTCAAGACGAGTCTGAGTCACGCAGGGCCGAAGGCATCATATCATTGTCATTGCCATTGAGTCACCTGTCACGCATCATTGCCTTCGTATCACGCTTTTATTCCTAAATTTGTGTTTAATGTCTTCTAAGCAAAGTGTCAGTATGACCACATGTTACCACATCTTACATCACCTTAGTTGGTCATCGGGATAAGAGGCCACTTGGCCTGTACTGGGGATGGCAATCATGACATTCGACTAGTGCTGGTCCGGCGGTATCATGAACAACAATATGCCACTGAGGATTATCCATGTCATCATGTCTTTGTTCAATATTTGGTTACTTTTTATTTTGATTTGTTTGATGAATTTGGCTTTTTGGCATTGGAATATTGTGATGAACCAGACTGCAAAGTACCTACAAATTGAAATGCAAAGAGTGATAGTTATAATAAGAGCTTTGACTGTGCAGGGGCAATCAGGCAGCATGGGGTGCACGTTTCCTGTGTGCGATGTGTAATTTACTTGGGGCAGTACAGGGCCGAACTCAAGCCGGCCCGACAAGCGAACTCAAGCCGGCCCGACACAAACTCAAGCAGGCCTGAACTCTGTTTGGTCGCTGCTTTTAGCAGCATTGGGATGCTGGTTTTCCTATATAATATAGAAGTTATTGCTGGCGCTTCTTGGCCTCTCATTGGTCGAATGAATGAATGAACCACATGAATTTGACCAATGAGGAGCCAAGAAACAGCATGAGCAGCATGCTCGCAGCCTGCTGATAAAAAGCTGTGACCAAACAGCGCCCTGATGACATGCTTACTGGACTACTGCATGGGTGTATTACTTTCTATTCGGGAGTTTAAGGGGGGCTGGGCCACGGAAGTTATCCTTCTGTTGCAGTTTTTCACATTGGAAATTGAAGTGTGAATATTTATATCTGATGGTAAAATTCAAATTATAATTTTTCATTGCTGGCTGGTGCAGATTTTGATTTCCAGTTTGGCTGTTTTTTGGCTCTTTACTGGTGTGGATTGTCACCCTTATCTAGCTGGTATGGCTTTTCAATTGTTTGCTGCTGCCACACTTTGCAGTCTGGATGATGGAATGCACAGATTGACAGAATTTGAACCCATGTGTCTCAGAGTCTGGGCACTACAGTGAAGGAAAGCTTGCTATGCAAGTATTGGCTACTGCCTTCCAGTTGGTAATCTGGGCAGCAATTGATGAGCTGATTTGTGAATCAGAAAAAGGGCATTTTCACAATTTGACCAATCTTGAATCAGGTTTAGTTATGCTCTGGGGTGCGGAGCTGGAGCCGGCATATTTTGCCCGGAGCCGGAGCCGTGAAAGCCCGGAGCCGGAGCCGTCAAAAAAGGGGCGACTCCGGCTCCTTTTTTTGAAGAGGAAAAAATTATTGACCTAGTTCGGTTTGACAGTTCAAGGCAGTAAAACAATAAAACATGTGGTATTTAAATATGAAAATAACCTTGTTATGCAAATACAGAAGCAACGTGCATCAATCCCATCGTCTTTTTTTCTTCCACTCGTATTTAATTGCATAGGGGATGTACTGAGTATTGGAGCCGGAGCCGCCGGAGCCGGAGCCGATTTCTTTCTCCGGAGCCGGAGCCGGAGCCGAAGCCGTCTGCAATTTCCATGGCTCCGCATCCCTGGTCATGCTTTAAAAAAAAAGCATGACCAGGGATGCTATCCCTGGTCATGCTTTTTAAACAAATTAAGTGGAAATATTTGCTTTGAATAGGATATCCAGGAGTGCACCATTTCATCCCTAAGAAAATGGATAATTGATTAATATTTCCAGCTTTAAGAAATAATGCTTTCCATAATACAAATATACCATTAGTATATTGGGCTGTAAGATGTTTTATCACATGATTTTCCCAATGTTTTCTTTGTAAGTATAAGTACACACTGCACTAATTTGCTTTTGCACAAGATGTACCTATTATTTAGCTTGTTTCAAACACATCGTGCATATCGATATTGATATGGTGATAGCATCACTGATCTATTGGAGAAATTCCAAAAAGACTAGTTGGTGACTCCATTGGAACAAGGTACTCAAGCTATGTAGTCTTTACTTAATAGGTAGGTACTTCATGCAACAGTGGTATGTGGAAGAAGGTAATTGACCAAGATATTGTATGTCTTACACAATGTTTCTCTTCTTTCAGGTGAAACTGTTGAGTACCTATTTCTGGTGAATTCTGCTGTAAACACTCAAAATGGCTGCTGCGGCTGTGTCCAGCTCCAAAACTGAGGACCTCAAGGTCTCCATCGGTCCCAAGGACCTGGAGCTGAATGTGAAGAAAATCATCGTCCACCCGCTGGTGCTACTCAGTGTCGTCGACCACTTCAACCGCATGAGCAAGATCGGCAACCAGAAGCGGGTGGTGGGGGTCCTGCTGGGCAGCTGGCAGAAGAAGGGCGTGCTGGACGTGTCCAACAGCTTCGCCGTGCCGTTCGACGAGGACGACAAGGACAAGTCGGTGTGGTTCCTGGACCACGACTACCTCGAGAGCATGTACGGCATGTTCAAAAAGGTGAACGCCCGCGAGAAGATCGTCGGCTGGTACCACACGGGCCCCAAGCTGCACCAGAACGACGTGGCCATCAACGAGCTGATCCGCAAGTACTGCGCCGACTCCGTGCTCATCATCATCGACGCCAAGCCCAAGTCGATCGGACTGCCGACCGAGGCGTACGTCGCCTACGAGGAGGTGCACGACGACGGCACGCCCACCTCCAAGACGTTCGAGCACGTGCCGACCGAGATCGGCGCCGAGGAGGCCGAGGAGGTGGGCGTGGAGCACCTGCTGCGGGACGTCAAGGACACCACCGTCGGTACGCTCTCGCAGCGCATCACCAACCAGCTGGTCGGCCTCAAGGGCCTGCTGGGTCAGATCCGCGGCATCCGCAACTACCTGCAGCAGGTGGTGGACGGCAAGCTGCCAGTCAACCACCAGATCGTGTACGCGCTGCAGGACATCTTCAACCTGCTGCCCGACATCACGCACGGCGACCTGGTCAAGTCGCTGTACGTCAAGACCAACGACCAGATGCTGGTGGTGTACCTGGCCTCGATGATCCGCTCAGTGATCGCGCTGCACAACCTCATCGACAACAAGCTCTCCAACCAGGATGTCGAGAAGAAGGAGTCGCAAAGTAACAAAAAGGACAAGGACAAGAAGGACGATAAGGATAAGGACAAGGATAAGGACAGCAAGAGTGACGACAAAAAGGACGATAAAGACAAAAAGGACTCTAAGAAGTGATACTAAACTGTGCATATGTTATTTGTGTTTCAATCTCTGGACTCTGTGCTGGCTGGTGACACCCGCGTGGATCCGTTATTTAGGCACACGGTGGCGTCGTGGCATGTCCCCAACTTACGGAGGCAGATTTGCGGTAGGAAAAGTGCTGGTTAGACTTTTGTGGCATATGCTTTTGTACAAATGAAACTCAAGTCATCACCAATGACAAGTCCGTTCCTGAACAACTGTTAACACTCCCCATCATTTGGAAGTCTCAGAGTGACCCGCTACTCACGTTTTGAACTTATCCGTAAAAGAAGGGTGCAGGCACCGAACGCAATTGTGTGTTCATGTTGAGATCATTTGTGAGCGCGTCTATGGAAGCGAGCCAATACAAATCTCACTGTACCGTTGGGTAAATGAATGGTTATTTTTTTGTTGATACTTGCTCGAAACGGCGAGTTGCGCGAATGGGGGTGGATGTCACTATCTGCGCCAATCGATTATGCTAAGTCTGACAAACAAATCGTTCGTTTGGAAGCAAACAAATGATAAATCTATCAGATCAATGACGGTGTTAGGCGTGTATTAAAACTAATGTCAATATTAATTGTAAGCGGCAACAAATGAGCAGCAAAATCGAATAGGTCAACAAAAAATAATACGCAATGCAATCACGCGTTTGCATTACTATCTTACCATTTCTACACTCAAATATTATCTAACTTCGGCTATATACGGACTGTGGCAGAGCTGTTACTGTAGTTGATCGGTGTGCGGGGCGGGATCCATTAGCTGAGCCCCTCCTCTTCTGCCTCCCCGTGTCCCGTCCGAGCCAGCGCCCGGGCCGTCCAATAGAGCTCCCCGACTCCGGGCATCGTTTGCCGCGGCTCTCCCGGACCGGAGCGGAAATATTCCCTGAATATTCACAGCCGTCGGCCCTCCACTCAGCAGTCTATCGGGCCGGGCGGCGGCGCTGTCGGCCCCCCGCTGTGACCTGTCCGCCGCCAGCGCCGCCACCGACGGCTGCCGGCGACAGCCAGAGGGCCTGACGGTAACGAGGCGCCGACCTGGGATACCGAACGACCGGCACTGGGACGGCCCGCGCCGGGATCGGTGGGACGGCAGAGAGGTCGGCCGTATGAGGCAGAGGAGCGGGACCTCAACTTATGGAGACAGATAGGTAAGACGTAGGGAAGGCGCCTGTCATACTGTCGTCGCGTACGTTTTTGTACGAATGAGAAGTTCTCACCCGCTTTACGGACTGGCAGCTATCGACTCTCACAAAGGTTACTAATAGTTAAGCGGTACTTTGGCCAGGCAAATACCTCGCACCACTAATCTCGATATGCATTGATAACTGTCGATTGGGCTCAGCCTTCCATGTCTTTTCCATCCTGACCTGGGCTGACCCACTCGTGGCCTTACACACCTGTCACTCTGAAAGCTCGGGAAGCACAGGCCGGTTGCCCCGAAAGGTTTTAGCTTGGTAGCCCCAAACCAGTAGCGTCCCCTTGCTTGGTTCGACAGACGGCCCTCGATGGAGGCGTGTTTGCCTGCGCCGAGACGCCCCGAGCGAGATCAAAGGGATGCCGCCGCCGTTCCCAAACGTCAGCGCTCTGTCAGAACTGATCAATCGGGAAATATGCTGCGGGCGGTCGAGACCGCCCTCTTCTCGATGGGAGAGCCGCGATCGCGCATATCGCCGACGGGTAGAAGGGTTTCGCCGCTGTTTTCTCCACATCACTGTCAATTTGGTGTTCCTTTTTGTTATTGCGTTTCATATCAGGCTTTCTTTTGTTGTCAGAAGTGAAACCAAGCGGGGCTTCTGAGTGACCGAGGCATCGCGATATCATGAGAGAATTTCTCTCAGTGGCCTGGTCTGGGCAAACATTGGCGAATTTCTCGAGCGACAATGGCGTCGTTTCATCGCACGGCAAAACAGCGACCGTCGCCTCGGCGAAATGGCCGTCATTAATCCGCTGCGCTGTTATTGGTGAGGTGTCCCGACCGGCAGCAGCCGAGGACCCAGAGACCGGAACAGCGACGCCACAAGACGGACGCAGACGGAGCAGCACGTCGGGCGGTTGATGGTCGTCAACTTTTTCTCCGAGCTCTTCAGATTCAGAGCTGAAGAGAAGTAGTGAAGCTAAGTTGCTAGTTTACTGTCACATTAGTGTACAACTCCTACCACTCGATACCACAAGTTGTTCAATTAGTCCAATGCTCGTAACGCCCTTGAAAAGGTCTATGCCTTTGCTGCACTTGGCCTGTGCTTTCAAGTCAACAGTTTCAGCATAAATATTGGTTCGGCAGATATCGTCCGTGAGCCTTTAAAGATTAAGAATTCTCTATCGATACATGGGACTGCTCAAGTACCAAAATGTCATCGAGCTGATGTTTTGCATTGAAATTACATTAGCGAGTCTATAAAGTTCATCCGCATGGTCCGAGTTAGTTTCACCCACTGAGCCCTGGAAGTAAGCCCGCCAGTCTTAGCCGGACGCCGCCGCGACGGCTGTCCGCCATCCTCCCTGGTTTGAAGGAGGCGCCGCAGTGCTGAGTCGGCGGCCGCGCCGTGCCAAGCCGGCGTCGGCCGTGACTGCAGCGCGCGCCGTCCTGACGTTAATCATCGCCTATTGAGCTCGCGTCCGGCGGCAAATTGTGGCGACATTTGTAGGTGTGCCGGCGGGTAATGAGTTGGTCGGAGCGCGGCGCGCCGCTCCCTCGGGACCGGCCGACTTCACAGGCGCGCGCGGAGAGCGCCCTCACAGCGCGCTGATTGATCCGCAGATGTCAAAGAGAGGTGACAGTGACAGAGGTGCTGAACGGAGCGACAGGACACGTCCGCTCAGCGCTAGGGGAGTTGGCGTGAGAGGACTCACGTGTCAACGCGGTGCGCTCACCGAACACACCGTCCAAGTCATGCAACAGTATCAAACACGGGAGCAGCCTCCGATCATAGATCCTTTACAAACACTTTTTCTCAGTTTATTTATTAAAATGACGCGAACTAACACCTACCCAACAACGGGCCGTTGAGAGCGGCGCTGGCACCACGGGGGCGCGCCCTGCCGGTGTGCGCATGTCGAAATGACTTCAGACACTAGTGATGAGATGTGTCGGACCCTAGGATGAGACGTGTGTGCGATGTATGTGAATGTCCGCACCATTGACCGAGCTTAGTTCGACGGGAGTTTACATTGACGGACTATTTCGTGGATCAGAAGATTGGAACTACGAGTTAAATCTCCTCGAGTAACAATAAGCGGAGAACACAATGCAAATACACTCAACCCCACTACTCGTTTCTAGCTCCCGTAACTGATAATCGCTCTCCCAGTGACTTGGTCGAGCCGTTACAAAACTCGCCCCGGGGTGCGTTGTCGCTACATGAACACAGAGTCGGTTCGTTTTGCCTGAGGTTAGCGCTGGTGGAATGTGTGACCACGACCGGCCAGTCGGGGACAACCCGAGACGACCACCTCCCGGGGCGGAAACAGAGCGCCGCGGCGAGTTAGCAGTCACCCAGCGGCCAACAGAAACAGCCGCTCCCGGGCGGCGACAGCTCACACCGAGACGTGGGCGACGCCTCCCCGGCTGCCCCACACCCGGGTAACCGACACGGAGCACGGAAACAGAACAGTCAGAGAGCACACACAACGAGACGCGCCCGAGCAGCGGCGCCGCGGCAACTCAGAGCGCGCAGTGAGCCAGTGTGCCGGCCGCGGCGCGGGGCACACACCGGGCGGCGGGAAGCGAGCCCACCGCCAACGAAAGACAGCGCACCACCCCAGCGGCCGGCCGGCGTCTGAGCAACGCGTTACGGGGCGTCCACTCGCTCCGTTCCAACCGGCAATTAGCCGATCGGACAGTCGGCATCCTGACAGCAGTGGATCGGCCCGGTCCGACCGTTCGTAACACTCGAACGAGCCCCCGAGCGCGCCCCTCCCGCCGAGAAGACGATAAACTCTACCGCGCAGTAACGCCAACGGTTGGGCGGAGCTCTTATAAACGTGAGACAACTCGTAACAGCAGGGGAGCCACGTCGCTCGCGCCGATCGTCCAGCCGAGCGACTGGCGGCGCAGGATTGTCACCGCAGCACATTGTCAGTATCACAATCGCGGTGGCCGTCCCGGTCAGGCCGCCCAGCCGTCAGTCCACCGGTGAGGGGCCACCACAGTCGGTCCGTCGAGGTATGAGCATTGAAACCACCACTTTTCGATGGGTTGCACGAGAGACGCGGCTAGTATTCCGTCCCGGGGTCCACTCAGTCAGCCCGGTAATCTATCCCGCGGTATGCGGACTGCCATTCACCCCATACACTCCATGCTCGTGTACCGCTAGCTGATATATGTATCACTACCTCGCATACACATCTGTGAAAGTGGAAACATTGGCACAGCGTGCTGGCGTTGCCGGTCGCGCCGGGTCGCCAGAGTTTGTCCGTGTGCCGCGGAGGCTCACTTCATCTCCTGGCCACCGTCCTGGAAGATGTACGTCGCCCAGTAGATCATGTTGAACAGGGCGAACACCAGCGGAAAGGTGATCCGGGCGATGACGTCTATCCGTTTCGAGCGCGTCGGGAACCTGTCGAACGAACGAGACACGGTCAGTAGGAATCCTCTAGGCTAGGAGCTAGAGAACTGATGGTACAATGATGCGGCAAAATCGAAGCCGGACAAGCATCTTTTATTTGGTGCCACAAGAACAAGTAATCTAATATTTAGTAAAGTCCAGCCAAAAGGATATTGCAAGGCACTATTGCAGCACACCTAATAAGAAAACCGAGAAGCCAATGCAAGCGATCAACGCATTTGGTTGGGTTTGATAAGGACAAGGAACTGCGGATGTTCCTAGTAATAGCCAGGAAGTTACCTACTCAATGCGATAGTTATTGGAATTTCGGAAAACAGCGAGAGAAATTGTCTTAAGAACTTTCAAATTACTTCAGTTGGCTAAACATAAGCGTTTCCACTTTGTGACAGAAGAAGTTGTGATGTATCCCAGGACGGCATGTCGCAAAGTTTGTCCTCTAAGACGGGACAAGTTTACGGGGTTTCATATAGCTGGGTACGATCTCTCAAACTTGGGACAACCGATTTAGCACGACTGACTGCACATTCCGAGAGAAAACAGCGCTGGAAGCATCGCTATAATACACCAGAGAGGCCTGAAAGATATTCATAAGGCACAGACGCCGTCAAACACGATAAAGCCAGCATCATTGATCATCCGCTGTTCAAACTTTCCATTACCAACACTGGGAAGATGGATGTGCTATCGGCAACAAAATCTCACCCTTAAAAACAACAAAAAACATCGCTGTGATAAACTTTTGTACTTAGCCACCCGTCGATCACCCGTACCTACTGAAGAACAGGAAATTTTCGATGAGCCGAAACACCCTTTCATTTCCGTACAACTGAGGTCGTGACCCCGTATGGGGTCAGATCACTAGCCGGGCGCGGCCGGTCCATTCATCACGAGCCGCTCGGCAGCCCAGTTCGTCTTGCCCGTCTTAGCGGCGGCGGCGACGGCCCGGCCGCAGACTGCCGCGCCCAGATAGCGGCGCTACTCGGTCATATTAATCCGTTCGAAGTCAGCAGCGCGGCGCTCCTCTGTCAGCGCACTGGCGGCCGGTGTCACCGCACGGCCCCCTGCGCCCGCTCCGCAGGGAAGGCACCGATCAGCCGCTCGGAGACGGCACACACCAGGCCGCCGCCGCGAATAGCATGATGAAATATGCACTGAAATATTGCCATGACCTACGACGTCCATTGAAGGCATGACCTATGAATAGTGCAAGGAAATAAAAAACCTAACGGCAAAGCGACCACATGCATTAGCGAAACAAAGTGCACCATACGGAGCCTCAGCCGACCATCGAATATAATCAAACGAGAGACGCCCAGTAACATGTCCATCTATCCAACAGACTTCTTGGAGAAAAGGGAAGCATTCCATGTCGACGGCACACCGAATTGATGAACTATAGAACGAAAGAGTACTGCGTGCCCTTCACTTCGAGAACGATGTGAAAAGAAGGAGCAGGGAATCGGCGTATTGATTCGTCAATTGAAATGAAGTTCCGTCTTCGCCCGTTGACGACCTATTTTCCGCTATTAAAGATGGCCCCCAGTGAAGCCCCTCCTCTCGTCCACCGTGGAAGCCTCTCTGCTTTAATGACCACTCAAATCACGCCCACTGTCCAGCGCACAGATCTCAGTCTGCCGAAAGACAACGTCAGCACCCATAAAGTCGGCACCAATTGTCATAACTGGTCATTAACGGAGCAAATCATTTAGAAAACAGCCGAAACAGGACATCAAATCGGCCGTAAACGCGGTCGTCTTGGCGATGCGTGGGTCGCCCGTGCGGGGGCGGGGGCGGGGGCGGCTGCCGCCCACTCGCAGCTCTGTGTGGAGAGCACACACTGCTGAGCAGAGCCGCAAACACGGCAGCCGGCTCTAGGACGGTCCTCAGAACCACCGTGGATGCCGCAGAAATACACCGCCACCACAGAAACAAAAATAACGGAAACATTGGCACTCGGCCATGCCGAAACAAAAAGGGACTCAGAAAATGCTGAATAAGCATCATCCAGCGGAAGCTTATCACATAGTATATTTTCATGTTCATATTCATGATTGGCCATGGTCCAATAGCCCGAGGTATTTATAGGAGAATGCTGTTTCTCCTTCAGGCTCCATCGGAATTATCATCAATTTTCGTTAGTATGCGGCTCTCAATAACGATTTCGCCAATGTCGGACAATAAAACAATAGTCTACATGCAATGTGATGATTATTGGAAAACCAAACCAAGATTCGAAACTAAACAGGCAGTGCACATTCGTAACATCTATCAAAATGAGTGATCAAATGTTTGAGCTGACCAACATATCCTCCAGGTTGACAGTCGGATGACTGGTCGATAACCCGGGAGTGATATCGACTAACCAGACCACGACTCAGACCGACAGTCAGACGCCCCCCAGACCGTGACCTTCCACAGGGAGCCTGCCGGGCCGTGTGCGGTCGGCGGTCGCCCACCCCGCCCGATGTCACGGCCGGCTGCACAGAGCTGCAGCGGCGGCCGGCCGGGACAGGTACCGCCGCTGCTCTCTCCGCTCTGCCTCCTAACGAGAGCCCCCGGGGAGTCGCCGGCGCGGACGACGTTCGACCCATCAGGCCGGGCCCTGGGTAGAGGGCCGTGCTCGCCCAGAGGTCGGGGCAGAGGTCAGCGCGGTCACGGCGTCTGCCCGCACAAATGAACCCGAAACGATTGCATCTGCTCGCAAGTCGACGTCAATGATTAATCCGTGATTATCAAATCGTGGACCTGCTCAGTCACGACATCTCATATCTATTTACCTAAGCAGCTGAGGTCGTTAACTGGAACCAAACACAAAGCCAGGCTGACAGCTCGTGCATCAAGAGCGTTTGAATCAGAGCTAACTATTGACCGTGGACTGCCGTGCTAACGTCGGTCTGTCTATCATTGACCGACGCCGTTGTCAAGTGCGGTGATCGACTCAGCGGCGCCGCAGAGACGTGGCGAGCTGACACTGTGACACCGGCGCTGCTGATATTGTGAAACCGGTCCTGTTGTTATTGAAAATGGACTCGCTGATATTGTGACACCGTGACTGCTGATATTGGGATACAAGCCTGGCTGATATGACACCGGGCCTGTTGTTATTGTGACACAGGCGCTGCTGATATTGAGACACCGGCCCTGTTGTTACTGTGGCACCGAGTCTACTGATATCGTGACACCTGTGCTACTGATATTGTGACACCGGCGCTGCTGATATTGTGACACCAGTGCTGTTGTTATTCTGACACCGGCGCTGTTATTGTGACATCGGCGCTGTTGTTATTGTGACACTGGGTTTGCTGGTATTGTGACACCGGCGCTGCTGATATTGTGACACCGGCGCTGCCCGTGCCTAGAGATGACACCGCCAATCACGTTCGATCAATACGACGCCTGGGGACCGGCCGCGGCACTGCACGTGACCCGACCGCAGCCGCGTCCCGCCGCACTACCGCCGACCGCGTCAGGGCTCCTCTGGGACCGGCACTGTCGCGAGCGCCAGCGACATCAGCTCAGGGCCGCTGTCCCGATATGAGAGACATTCTCCCATTGGATACGTGGTTTGGTAGTGCTAATATGCTACAAATTACGGCACTGTATCGTGATATTGTCCGACCGGCGACCAGACAGTTTCCATTGGAATTGTAAGCGCACAGAGCTTAGGCACGTTCTATGCTGATATATTCATATATGTATGTACCGTTACAACTTTTGAAATACCTTGCATCCGCATTCGCAGCGAACGAGCTAGTTTCCGATGAAACTATATGTCGCCACGTGTCCTCTGGTATTTCACACGCCAACGACACTTATTTAGCCGGATGATAGACAAGGACTGTAGGAGAGCGATGGGTAGATCAGGATGGTGAGGAAGACGCCAGCCGCTGCCCGATTCCAGCCTCTCGATGGCGAGACCACTGTAATCGGACAGATCAACCGATACTCCGGCGCCTCGATGGCAAGGTTAGCCGGAGCCGACTGGTCGCACCCCTGTCTGAGCGGAGACCCCGCACCCGAGCCTCGATGGCAAGACCCGGGGAACGAGTTTAAGCTCAGTGACTCGATGGCGAGACACTGTGGCCGCCTCCCTCACACACCCCGGAAGAGGCCGTGTTATGAGTCCCGGATGAAAGGAAATGATCGGCTACTCGCACGCTATGAAGACTCGCTGCTGTTCACTGTCCCGTCCCCTTTTCCACTGGTCCAGCTCCTCTCCACACCAGTTAAGATATTTTCACTTGCTGTATTGTGCACCACCACCACACCACAGCCAGAGCACCACTTCCACCCACACAGCGAGCACTTCCCCGCCGAGCATCCAGAACGAACTACCCTCAACAACCGCGCGCTGACCCGAGGTCACCTCGCATGCGCCCCGAGGGCAGGAGCCCAAGCAGCCAATCACCGGGCTGCTTGCTATGGGGCCAGCTCAGTGCCGGCATAGCCCCAGGCGCCACGTGGTCGGCCGGCCGCCACATGGCCCGCTCGGTGGTCCGGGCGGCCCGGCCTGCAGCCGCCGGTGCTAACATCCCCCCGCACCGTGTTGCACTGCAGGGCAACACTCACGAAAGGTAACCGGCGTGCTGCCGTACACATCGCGTCGCTAACACATATAAACCATTTCACATTCCAACAAATACAATGCTATTTCTTGAAACACCAGCAAGTATAACATGAAACAGAAAAATAAAAACACTTCCACTTCGTTAAGCAAAGTTTAATGATGGGTATCAGTGGTATATCCCCACCGACGCACAAAGGCGACTGGCGACGTCGTCGCTGCTAGACGAATCGCTGCCGCCCAAGCAGAAACCGCCACATCCGAGGAAGCTACCGCCCGAGCTGATGTAGCCGAGGAGGTTGCCGCCGCCCGTGCTGAGGTGGCCGAGGAGGCCACCGCCGCCTGCGCCGAGGCCGCTGCAGCGCTCACGGAGACTAATGCCTCCCACGCTGGAGATGGAGAGACGCTGGAGAGCCTCCAGACTCAG